AGGAGGACAATGGAGCTGATGGCCTGCGCACATCTGCGCAGGTCTAGTAGTTCTATGGAATTTACGCAAATTTGCACAGGCTTAGTAGTTCTAGATGCACAGGCTTACGGTGGCCTCTGCTTAAAAGGGGCCCCAACCAACCTTGTTGAATAAAATTTTCAATTGTGGCCACCCCCAACTTTTGTCAACGCCACCCCCCACTTCTCCGTCGACAACCATTACCATCGACCCAAGCCCCGGTCAACAACATCACCATCGTAGAAGATAGCGCTGGCCCCAAAACAGCCCAAATGACCCCGGGGCCTCTGACCATGTTAGTGTACCTCTGAACACACCCAGCAGATAAACAGCTTACAGACTGGTACTTATGGGACAGTGTTGGTGTTCAAGTTTTTTAAATGCTAGGAATTGAAATTTTAGTTTAATTTAGTTGTTTGTCAATGGATTTTCCGCATAAATGTCCAGGTATTGCAGAGGCTGTCCACGCTTTTTCCGTAGGCTGCATCACCCACTATAGTCACTGTATAGGCAACATGTCAAGGCTGGTTCATAATTCACATGAAAGGGGGACATATGCTGTGCTGTGTTCCCTAGTCCGGTCATTGATGTCACTCTTCTCTCTTCGCTGGTACCCTTCCCTGTTCTAATCTTCCCATTTTGACCACCCGTGGTCCTTGTTTATTTCCCTGCTCCAGTTTTGCTCAATAAAGCCCATTTTTGTTCCCCTGATGCCTGTTCTCGAGTCCTGCAGTTCTGTGTCATGACACTAGTGTTGTTTTCGTTAACGAAATTTTTGACGAAATATCTTCGTCAACGAACCTTTTTGACGTGACGGAGACGAGACGAGACGCAACGTAAATGCTGGTCATGTGACGATAACTATAACGAAATATATCATGTAATATTGTTGACGAATAAAAACAAGACTAAATTTGGTTTACAAAATAAAAACTATACTAAAATGTCTCTTCATTGTCGTTGACGAAAACGAGATGAGACGTTTTTTCCTCTCGTTTAATCGCGTTATTATTATTATGCAGTATTTCCTGTGTCTCCCATTCGGGCGCACAGATGGCGGAGAAATGCGGCCACAAAATATCGGGAAGAAAACACCACAAACCTTAAATCCTTAAAAGACATCTCAAGGCATTCCACAATGACATTGAGGTATAAGTAAAGACGTAACGTAACGTTACTTTCTATTTTAGAAAGGTCATGCCAACTGTGGTTAACATGTTATCGTTAGCAATAGATGTTAGCCTGCTAGCTTTAGACATTTTGGAGAAAATTATATTTCATAAGTATGGACACTTGGCGATCTGTACAAAACATCCTTTCTGATAAGATGTTTGATAAGAATACGTAGGTAAAGCGAAGACTTTGAAGCTATGTAGGCATTTTAGCAAACTAAAGCTAAGTAGCAAACTGAGAACGACAGCTCAGTTGTCTTGAATCTTGGCGATCTAAACTTTCAAGCTTTCATTACTGTGTGACTAGATATATGTCTAAAGGGATAGTGTTTGAAACATTGAAAGAGCGTTTTTCGGAACATTGTGCTTGCCAGGCTAGTTACCATCCACGTAGAGGTACAGTATACGCTCTGGCTACAGCTCATGTAAATACCTGCTAACTGTGAAATAATGTTCGTGTGGAAAGGATGTTCGTGAATGATTCAGAGCATGATGCATTTTGATTGGCATCCCTTATGGTCTTGTGAGGCCTATTTTTTTCTGTTAAACAATTGTAGCTGATAATAAGCAGCCAAATTACATCCAATAGTTTCAGTCATTGAGGGCAAAATAGGCCTAATAGCAAGGATTTATGCTACTTAATATTTGGAACAGTTAGATTTTCCAGAGGCTGCATCTGTCCTGACATTGTATCTATTCCTGTGCTAGATTCCAGAAACAGCTTCAGTGAAGCAAGTCCCATGCAAGAAGATGGACATTATTTTATTTATTTATTTTATTTAAATTTGTGTGTACTTCTAAGTTCAAGCATGTTTGTTTGGCAAAATAAATGTTATAAATTCAAATGAGAGCGTCTTCCGTGTCTGAAATAGATGTGGAGTATTCTTGAGTATATAAGGTAACAATAATATAATAATAAGAACCTTGTTTTAATTGTGAAATGCATTTGACTAAAAGAATATTTTGTTTTTGTCTATTCTACTAGGTACAGTACTTGTACTATATTGACTAGGTAAAATAGAATTGCATTACTAAAATAAAGAGACTAAAATACTATTTTCATTGACTAAAACTAGACTAAAATGTCATCAGTTTTCGTTGACTACAACTAGACTAAAATGTCATCAGTTTTTGTTGACTACAACTAGACTAAAATGTCATCAGTTTTTGTTGACTAAAACTAGACTAAAATAGTCATGGATAATTCTGACTAAAATATGACTAAAATGCTCAGACTTTTAGTCGACGGAAACTTGACTAGACTAAAATGAGTATGGACGTGACTAAGACTAATAATAATTAAAATGATAGCTTGACGCAAAGACAAGACTAAAACTAAAATTAAGACAGGCCGCCAAAAACAACTATACATGATACTAGCAAAGTCATTCAAGTTTTGGTCTATGCCTAGAAATAACATTACTAAAACATAAACTAAAATGTATAACAACTAAATACTTTTGCATCTTTAAAATAAAAACTAATTAAACCACACTGAAAACTAAAACTGAACTAGGTATCAATTGAAAATAAAAAAAAAAAAATCAAAATGACAACACTGATGCAAAAACACACACAGGTATACAACAGTCAGGCATAACATTCAATCCACCTGCATAATATTGTGTAGGTCCTCCACCAAAACAGCTCTGACCCATTGAGGCATGGACTCCACAAGACCTCTGAAGGTGTCCTGTGGTATCTGGCACCAAGACATTAGCATCAGATCCTTTAAGTCCTGTAAGCTGTGAGGTGGAGCCGCCATGGATCAGACTTGTCTAGCAAATCCCACAGATGTTCGATCAGATTTAGATCTGCGGAAGGCCAAGTCAACACCTTGAACTCTTTTATGTTCCTCAAACCGTAACCGAACAATTTGAACATCAGGAAATACCACTGTCATGAAGCAGTCAACTTGATGTGCAACAATGTTTAGGTAGGTAGTAACATGTCAAAGTAACATCCACATCAATGCCAAGACTAGGATTCCCAACAGAACATAGCCCAAAGTATCACACTTGCTCTGCGCCTTTCATCAACAGAAGTGCAAACTGTAGTTTTATACTGTTCTCATTAAATCGGCCATAAACAATGTACTGTCCAACCTATATCTGTGCACATGTCGCTACAGTGTTTGTATATGCAAAATACCACGTAATGCTCAACTGATATCACTAACAATGGCTAACAATGAACCTGGCTAGAACTGGTATTGCTGAATCGCTTTCAAGCTTGTACTGGAACGCAGTTAAGTCGGGTTTGACGTCCCAGCACTGACTTCCATCCTCCAAGGTAAATGGAGCGCAGCGTGACAACTGTATATGAGGAATACTCCACAAGATGCACTGACCCAGTCGTCTAGCCGTAACAGTTTGGCCCTTTTCAGAGTCGCTCAGATCTTTATGCTTGTCCATTTTTCCTGCTTCCAACACATCAACTTCAAGAACTGACTTTTCACTCTCCTAATATATAATGGCACATTGAAACAAGATAATATTATTCACTTCACCTGTATGAGATTTTAATGTTGTGGTATTGCGGTACAAATGGATTTAAGTTTGTACCCTAGTCTTCTGGGAGTCTTCATAGGCCTAATCCTGTAGCAAGGAATCCTATAAATGCCAGTATTTACAAACTTACTCTGTCAACCATTCTTCAAATCTGCTAGCCATTTTTGTTATCATTTTATCATAGATATGTAGAAAAGGTATATAATCTTTGGTTCGATCTAGATTTTGACTTCCTGATACTTTTTCAATGGCCAATGAATAATGGCGGTTCACTTGTGTCACTCAGAAGAGCCTCTGCGTTGTTTCGGTTTTCGAGGCCCCCCTACACAGTGTCCAAGGCCGGGCACTATGACGGAAATTAGATGAGAAGCTTTGGTTGATATTAACCCAGTGTTTCCCAATTCAGTCTTCGGGGAACTGCAGACGGTCCACTTTTTTCAGTTTATGGAGCAAAAAACGTGGAGTGCCTATCAATGCCCAAGGAACAGGTTAGGAGACACTGTATTGACCTATAGGGCTACACACATATTATTTTTCTCAATTAAACCATTATGCTGCGGACATATTTGTCCATGTATGGACAGGTTGACAATCCCTGCTTGTGACACAATGATCTCTGTCAAGCCCCACTTATGAGGAACTCACGTACTTTAGTTTTTTTCTGCCTAAATTATTAATACGTTTAATTACTTATAGTAAGAATTCGTTTCTATTGTGACTTTTGTGATGGCGCAAACACTGTATGTAATTGCGAATCTAGGTCGTCTAAAACAAACTTCTGGTTTTAAGCCTCACAGTCATGGTATTCTCTATATTACCTACTGTTCTTGCTTGATGTCGGATGCATTTCATTGCCATGTGTAAAGTTTTACAGACAATATGAATTGCAGGGGAAACACACAGTAAACTCCAGCTATTAACACCTTGTAAACAATCTAGGACAGATTCTGTGTAAGACTGCATCACACAAACTATGTAGCCGTGGAATGATGCGTGGGATTTTTTCATCTCAACAAGGGAAAGTCATCTTCGTTGCGGTTTTCACGGTGGTAATACGTCTGAAGAAGCCGATGACAACTGCCGTTATGATCCAAGACACGCGCAGATAAGAGAGGAAAGTGAGCCTAACAGACGCGTAATGTTTTGCTCGCACGTTGCACTCTGTAATGCACCGAACTTCTGTGCCCGGTAAGTGTTTGGATCTATCAGCACAGAGGGAAATAGGTGGGGTGCCTAAAGAGGAGATTGGGCAGAAAGGAAACAAGAACTGGAATAGCCAACGAGGGAGGCTGTACCTTACCTGCTCCCCCCGTCTCCGGAGCCAAACACCGCAGTGTTCAAACAACTGCTCCGCTTGGGCTCCAGCGTTTTACAGTCCCTCCCTCCACGAGACGTGGCACCTTGGTATGCACGCGTCTCTGTATGCCTTTCGGGTGTTTTCGGATTTTCACAACGTGTTGCACTACATGCATTCATTCATTCATGAGTATTGGTATTGGTTATATACCGCTTGATGTGAGCGTGCATCTAACGTAGTCTCGCATGGATTAATAACTACTGCCATCTAGTGGCAAACATAAGCCTAGTGCATCTAACTAAATCATATTTCTGCTACTTATTTCAGTTGATCGTATTCGGATGCGAGTTCTTTGCCCCAGGGAATACCGAACAAGTCTTCTTCTTCTTATTATTATTATTATTAATTATTATTATTATTATTATTATTCTGTCAAAAATGAGTCGGGATAAGTTACATTTTCTGCTTTCTTAATTTTTAGATAAAAATGTAAAGAATATTTCAGTTTTATTTGTATTTAAACACTCAGCCAACGCTGGGAATACACATATATTCTTCTGGGCCCGTATTCACAAAGCATTTTATGTTACCACGACGAGTACTCCTAAATCGCACTAAAAGTTTTTCCTATAAAACCTATTCACAAAGTGGCTGAAAGCAACTTCTAGTTAGGAAAATAGCCAACATCTAAGCTAAGAGTAAGACTCCGTCACATGACGGCGAAAAGAAACTGATTTTCTCTCAAGGGACGGCACGGTGCCGTGGATAGAGCTGTCACCTCGCACCTCTGGGGACCGCGCTGAAGTCTCCGCCAGGGTTCCCCGTGTCGTCGTGGGGTTTTCCTTTGGGTGCTCAGGTTTCCCCCCACAGTCCAAAAATATGCTGAGGCTAATTGGAGTTACCAAATTAGCCATAGGTGTGAGTGTGTGGTTGACTGGTGTGTGAGTGTGCCCTGTGACGGATTGGCACCCCATCCTGCGCGCGTTTCCCCCACCTTGGCCCAGTAACCTCCTTGATAGGGTCCGGACACCCCCCCTCCCCCGGCGACCATGAACAGAACAATCGGTTTCAGAAAATGGATGGATGGGTGGATAGAAATAGGCTATAGAAGATCATTACTGTATTATAGCGTATTTGAATTATATACACTTCAGTAATTTAATTTGTACAATACTGTAATTGGAAAATCGTTTGAAACATCTGTAATGTATTTTGAACGAGTCAATAAAATTCACTGAATAGCAACACTGTCCGTTTTATTACCTTATATTCATGTAATAAATATACAAATGTTAATTAGATGATAATCTGCCTGAGACGCAAAGAAAAAGAAAAAAAAAGTAAAATATATAATGATCACTATAAGCGGTTTCCACTGTAGGCTATATGATGGGGTTGTTTCTGTTTATTTGAGATGTTACTGCGTCCCTCACAAACTCCACAACAATCATTACTCCCACCCGAATGAGGCGGTATCCTTTAAGTAATTCAGCGTTCGTTTAATGTTTCCAAGACATTGCGACGTGGATTGAAAGCAGTCATTTTGCGACGATATGTTTGAGAATTGGTCTTAGTAAAAAAAAAAAAAAGTCCTACATTTAGGACTGACACCCTTTATTGGGGAATTTCTCCTAAATAGGCAAGTGAGGAGCTACTTTTAGCCTTAGGATGATTTGTGAATACGGGCCCTGGGCTGCAGTCCCTACCCCAAGCACGTCATAACAGCCAACGGACAGCATTTATTACCTGTTGTATTTTAGTAAACATTTTTCCATCTGCAAAATATTGTTGATGTTTCATATTTGATTTGATTAAGGGTTCCCTTAAAAGTAGTTACTGGCGAAGTAATAAAAACGTTGATATACTGTTAAGTAAAAACATTTTTCCGTTATACGGACGCCTATAATGATCAGAAGAACAGTGTCGCTGGAATTATAGATGTCATGCTCCGGGAAAGAAAGGGCAATTTAAAATGGATGCACGATCACCTGTTTCCACTGGATGTGGGTGGTGCAATACGCAGCTTTGGGGCCTGGTATATGCAGAATTTGTGTCGGGTTTCGCCTATAAATATTAAACAAACGATAGAGAAAAATGAAGGCAATGTTGGGAAAGAACACGCCATTTTTACCATTTTGATTTTCAAACCATCCAGAATCTCCCACCAACACTTAAGATAATCTCACATATGGAATAACATGTCTCCTTGGCAGTGAAAGCAACGAAAGTACTAAATTCTTTTTTTTATGTGTGCCGTTACCAGCCCGAAGGAACATTTATTCACTATCAAACATGCTTTGTTTTTTCCCCCATGCGCTGCTGGTTTTATTTACGGTGCCGGGTTGATTTGTAGGGTCCTTTACGCTGCACCCCCAGTGTCCACGCGTCGGAGCAGGACCAGTTTTTTTTACAATTATTATTTTTCATTGTTTCCTCCCCCAATGTGTTCAGTTTTCTTGCAGATTAAACATTATACCGCGGAACGAATCCCCGGCAATAGCACGGTAATGAAGGCTATTCTACGCCTGCAGCACCCAGAAGTGAACAGTAGGCGACCCGGAAGGTCTGATTAACTCGGATTGAAGGCAGGCAGAAAGAACATCTTAACCTTTTATAATATATATTTATTTTAAACCTGCAATCGAATTCCCAGGTCTGTATGAAATCCTTCCAATGTTTTACGTCGGGCAACTTTTAATGGTTCGGGCGGGTTATTTAGTTTGATTTTAAAACGGGTGGATTGACTGATTTGAGTCTCCCAAAAAGTTGCAAAATGCCCCAAAAAAGAGGAAAAAAGACGAGCGCATGTTTCAGAAAGACAGCTTCCGAGCGCATCTGAGGGAAAAAATAACATAGATACAATGTAGCAGAATCAGCGTCTGCCGACGGATTTATTTGGCGAAGCCTCCAGCGTAGCGCATCAAACGTGATGTGATTCTGAGACGCATGATTGCTGTAGGAAGTGTCTTTTTTTTTTTTTTTTTTTTTTTTTTTTTTTTTGAGCCGGGCTATTCAAACCTGAAGGGCTTCGTAAACAATCATTGACGTCCTTAACCCTGATAAACTCCCGACAAAAATATACATACATGTTGCTCGAATGATCCATTTTCTTATAAAGGCGAATTCTTGCTTGTAAAAATTAGGATCTGCAGAATATGGCGTCCTGTCCTTATAAAAATAAGACGGGCTGCCATTTTTGTTTTCCTTTTGTCTGAAAATTTTAATAAAACTGTCTGAGAATGTGGGAGAGGCGCTGGGGAGGACCACCGGCATCCGCCGTTTCTTTTCTCCTCACATCCATTTCGATTTAGAAATGTTTTATTTGGAATTGCACCCGGAGAATCTGGTAGAATAAAAGAAAAGTTAGGTAACTTTTTTTTTTTTAGTTATAAAGTATACTATATTATCATTCTTGTTTGCCACGCTGGATTATTTTCTGTCTTTATTAAAAGTGCATGCACAATATAACTGAACTGTTTTTAAAAGCGGGTTAAAACGCGTTTCGTAAATCTGTTTTCATGATGTTCTTTGACGCTGAATTAATTTCTGTTGGATAAATGAAGTTAGACAGGATTGGTTTGGACGCTTTGAACTGTAAAATCATTTTATGTGTAATGTTGCGCCGCAAATTTCGTANTTGGCACCAAACTTTTTTTTCATCTCCTGGACTGTTGCCAAGTTCACTAAAGGTGACCTTTCCTTCTTGAACTTATTTCGCAAACACTCCAATAGAGTTTCCTGTGGGTGTTTACATAAGTTATAAGGCTCACACGGCATAAAAGTAGTACAGAAATTCAACTGAAAAATAATGTTTTGCATTAAGAAATAACAGTTAAGAAATAACATACATATCCAGAGGAGCTATGGTCTCTCAAAAATGGAAACCTGGTGATCAGACATCCCAGGACATCTGTGTATTTTTTATGGTTTGGGTACCTGAAAGATCATGCTTAGAGTTAAAACTTTCCTACTCAAATTTAAATATTAAAATATACAACACAACAACCTCAATGTATGTTCCTGACAACAAACTAGAGTATATGTCAAGGGTATGACAATACCATGTGTACTTTGTGATGTTGTCAAACAACACTTGGATCAGTAAAGATCGCACGTGGGACTTGTCTTTTTTTTTGAAAGATGGATCTTTTCTTTGTAGAGCTTCCTGTAGCTCTGGGGGCAGGACAGGCAGGGTGTATAATGCTGGCCATGACTCCTGGGCTCCTTGACTATGTACAGAAATAAAGATGGACACATACAGACAGACACCATTACTCCTTTGTCATTTGTCAAAAATCCTTTTCTCAGAGGGGCTGAAGCATTAAAGACTTAAGTGAGATGACACTGAACTGCTATATACTTACTGACTACTGGGCTCTGCAGGTAATCCATCACACAGCATTGGACTTGTTTGTCTGTGGACAGAAAAGATAACATTTGGTCCTACAAAACATTCATGTCAAGAAATTCCCCATTTTATGTATATAATGAAATTCCATACTCACTGAGCCAATGATGATGTGTTGCGCAATTTCTCCAACTCTTTTAAAAATATCACTTGCTGCTTCATCAGAGGAAAAAGTTTTTCAGTCATCCTTTCAGTCAACCCCAGTAGTGTTTCCCCATCAATTTGCTGTTCTGTTGATGTAAGAATCACAGTAAATTTCCATTACATTAAATTATCAATTTAAACAAGAGCTTAATTATATACCAGTATTTCAGAAGTCTATTTTTGTTTCCTTTAAGTCAGTTGTTTGCAGCAGGGTTTTACCTGTGGACACAGTGGTGAAGTGTAAGGAACATATTCTCATCATGAACATAGGTGTCCAAAGCATGGTAGTCTTTTTCATCCCCTGGATGGACAACAATCCATTCTTTATGGTCCTCCAAAGAGAAGGCATGGTAGTGCCTACTGAATGCCTTGGGTGTCAGTAGTTTTCCAAAGATAAGCCAGAGAGCTCTGAACTGGATAATCTTAACTATTTTCATAAAGATGGGAATGTCCTCCTCTACCACATCAATTATGATGGTGTCACCTTCTTTGTATGTACAGTTATTGGTCAGTAGAGAGCTAACAACTCCTACTCTCTCGCCCTCTGGTATGTCTTCAACCCCACTCTTTAGCACAATGCCTTCCTGAATGTCAAGGGGAAGAGATCGAAATGGGATTTGACGTTCACCTTCAGTGTATGAGTGCTGGCGGAGGATATCCAGGGATGTTAATTCCCAACACTGCCGCAACTGGTGTCTTTTGGAAAGGGTGTAACAAAGATTTTTGAAGTTGCTAGTGTTGTGAGACAGTCTCTTAAAGTACTGGTGTTTACCCTCAAATCGCATGCACCACAGCAGTTTCAGGGGGCCAAATTCTAAAATCAGACGAGGATAGTGAATGAGATAGTGCAATTTAGGTGTGAAGGTCTCTGGGAACACAGTCTTGAAAGATGCGAGAAATTCACCAATTTGTAAGCTGAGGACAGGAATGATGCTCCTCCTGATGCAGGGAGCGAGGATCATATCACCTATTTCTCTGCACCTGAGATAAATATCCCAGTGTATCTCACCTTCTGGAATGTAATGTCCAATAAGGAGTGGTAAAATCCTAAATAAGCACAAGTTTTGTGCTGCTGATCCAGTTAACTTATTTTGTTTCAGTACACTCTGTGGTAGTGTCTGTGGGATATTTCTTCGATCATTTTTTCCGAATGTGAATGCTTCCAGCTCTGAGTTTATGTCATTCAGTGTCACAATTTTCTGATGATGAAGTGTAGTGATAACTTTACAAACAACAATTGGTATGATACCCTCTAAGAAATCATGCATTAGGTCTGGTGGAAATGCTCTGGTGACATCAAAGTAATGAAGCTCAGTGAATGGACACACTTTCACTACTCCATAGGTCTGTTTTGACAGTTGATTGTTCTCCTGAAGTGCATTAAGGTGGTAATTATGAACATCGGAAGATCTAATTTGCACACTGTCTTCATTTAAATGGGCCTTTAAGTCGCTATATGCAGTCATACAAAACCTGCACACCCGGCCACTGTTAAAACAGCATGTAAATCCGGCTAAATTGTGGGCAGATAAATTGTCTGCTGAAATGGTTGCTAGGGCCCCCTTCAAAAAATGCCGTCTGTCATTCACACAAATCTCAATTCCTTTTGTGTGTAGTTCTTTGAGGTCAAGTAGGAGAGGACAGAGAATGTCCTTAAGGGGGTACCTCTGAAAGAGCTGATATCGTATCAGAAGACACAGGTGTATGTGCCGTAATTGGGATTTGTATTTCTGTTCTAGATTTCCGATTGTAAAATAAAAGGCAGTTACTTTGTGTATTGCTTTTTTGGCGCCTAATGGATTCACAACTTCAAATTCATCTGTGTACAAGTGGATACGAAGAATACTTGGATCACCAAAAAATGGCGGAGCTTGGAAAATACTGCCATCTGTGAAGTCTTCCAAAAGATCATTTGAAACCTTCTCACAGCCTCTTTGAAAAGAATCAAAAATGTCCTGTTTCTCCAAAAAAAACTTCAAAACATCATTCAGTGGCACATACTGTAAAGTGTCTTCCTTCCCCTTGCTATTAACACCAAGAACATATTGAACTGGCTCTACAAAATTCAAATTCTTCCTGCTAAATTGTATTAATCTATATTCAGATTTAACATACTCAAATGCACAGTCAAAAAGAGTTTCATTTGAAAGGAGATTGTCCAATTCCTCATGGTCTCTCAGTCTGAATCCTGACTGATCCAAGTGAAACTTAATTATGTCAGCATAATGCTGTTGAAAAAATTGTAGTACAAATTGAAGATTTTCAACAATTGTGTCCTGAGTAACTTTGGGGAGAAGGTGTTTCTCTTGGAGGTTTAATATAAAAAGTGCCACATGCTTCTGAAGACCTGACAGTAAAGTATTTAAGTCAGGCAGACTATTTTCATTAATTGACTGCACATCTTCTAAGCTGTCCACCTGGTCAATTTCATTTTCAGCAGAGGGTGTTACACTGTCAAAATCTGCATTCCTTGTAATGGCAGCCCTATGTTTTCTGTAAATATGTGTTCTGAAGCCAGGTATAGTTGTGTAACTTCTTGTGCATCCCTCTATGTTGCAAACAATGTGGAAATCGGGTAGATGGTGATGCTGTAGCTGTAGATGTTGCAAATATTTTGCTAGGTGAAACTTAACAACGTCACAAAATGGACATCTGAAGATTGTTTCCATTACCGGTGAAGATTTCTTTTGCATCAATTAAGTTTATGGATTGAAGCCATTTGCAGACATCTTCAACAGTCCAGTACTCTGTCATCTAAAATGAAATGAAAGATAAAAGTATTAGGCCTACAGAAAAAATATTTCATAACGCATTTTTCTATATTTATTTTTTACTCTATTGATTGCTATCACGTTCCGAACCGGGGAAGCAGGGGCAGGGAGACAAAGAGTCAGGTAACGAGGGATTTATTGGGACAAACAACACGGAACAGCAAGGCACAACTGGTAGCGACGTTAACAACAGGACTGGGGAAATATAGGCTACTTAAACGGAGACTTAAATACACAGAACTAATGACAGCAACTCGAAACAATGAGTATAGAACCGCGAACAATATATCAGGCTTCTGTACTCTTTGACATTAATAACGCTAGTTAGTTAGCAATAAATAAGCTTATTAGGAGGGAAGGTTGTACGACAACTTGCTGACAACCACATACCTCAAAACCATTTGAATGCTGTTTATTCTACAATTTATCTAAACAGCATGCCAATGAAGAAGACTAGTTACTGTCAAATCACTCTGCGTTGTCTGATGCTAGCGAAAATGACAACTCCCCAAGCTAGCAATTGCATGGCGCTAAGTTAGCTAAGCATCGTCTTAAATGATCAGAAATGTCATTGAACAACAAAAATGGATACAAGCTCAAAATTATATGTGATAATTTTGTAGCACCGGCGGGGCGCATGTCCCAGCATGCCCCGCGTGCAGTTGTAAATAGTCCTTGTTGTATTGTTGTTGTTAATGGTTGTGTTTCCTTATTGTCGTGCATGTGTTTGCCCGTGTCTTGTTGTGTACCCTGAACAATCCTCGCGTGTATTTAGCTTACGTAAATCTCCCACCGTGTGTGCATCTTACAGTTCAGCGTCTGACAACTATGTGTTTCGGATGTTTAATTGATTCGGTGCTCTTTAAGTGCTTGAGGTAGTTCTTTTAAGGATTACTAATAAAGAGCGTATTCTTGCCGAAGAGTCTTCGTGTCTTCCTCAGCTTCTGCGACGTCTCGATCCGACAGACGCTACAATTCATTTAACTGTCAGACTGAGAAAGAAGTTATGGAAGTTTTTTTTGGGCCGGGGTGTTCGAACCTGAATGGCTTCGTATACAATCTTTGTCTTTTTTCACTCTGTTTATGTGTCGATTTTAATTTGCATTTTTGTTTTTGTTATGTTGTTTTTTCTTGTTATTGTGTTTTCTTTTTTGTTTAGTTTTGTCTTTGTTTCCTATGTCTTCCTTTGCTTTTAATTATATGTCTGTCTGTTTTTTTTGTTTTGTTTTTGTCTGGGGTTTTTATTGGAAGTGTCTGAGTTTTTTTGATGGGGGCTGGTGTGGGGTGCCGGGCTCGGCTGTTTGTTTTTTCCTTATGTCGCTTTCGCTTTCGATATGTTTTGTTTGGGCTTGCCTCCTTATCGTTTGGTTGCCTATTGGCATTGTTGGGTAACTTTTTTTTTTTTCGTTTTTTCGTGTTTTGTTTTCTCGTTCTTGTTTGTCATGCTTGTTTATTTTCTGTGTTTGTTAAGTTTTGTTGCACTTTCTATTTGAATTGTTTTTTTCAGCGGGTTTCCATGCGTTTCGTTTGTCTTTTTTCTTTATGTTCTTTTGCGTTGAATTGCTTTTTTTTGGATGCATGGGTTTTGTCTTTCTTGGTTTTGGCGCTTTTATGTTTCTATTTATTTTCTGTGTGATGTTTTTTTTCTAATTTTGTAGTTGGAAATAACGAAATTTTCAGAATTTCACATACATTAACGTGACATCCCTAGTTGACATGTCGACTAGTTTCAGCGACATATATAGGCTAAGTTTCAAAACCAACACTGAATGAGTCGATTTTTTTTGGTAAACTTAGAAGTCCTTTGTGAGGCTTGACTTCAAGCTTAATATATTATCGTGTAAAAGGTTCTTTGGAATTATAGAAAATTTTGAAATGTAAAATAGTCGAATTAATCATATTATGCTATAGCCTCCATAATTTGCTCATAACGGGGGTGCGTTTGCTCAGCTGTGATCTTTAGCATTGAGACACTATAAACAATTCATACAACTTTACTATTAGTACGTGTCTGTTGTTTTAGGGTTACTTTTGCGTTGGTAATAATAAAGTGGAAGAGATTGGATAATTCTTTAGATTTCTGAAACAGTTCTGTAGAGAATCTTAACTTTTGTGTGAATCGTGTTTTTGTTGGTTTGAACAGTATTAGGTCTTAGATGTATACTATATAAAAATTATAGTTTTTTGACATTCGAGAATGTGTTATTTTTTATATACTCTGTCATTTCTTGTAGTCTCGTTCTGTTTATAAATACTTGGTTCACTGTGAAAGCTTAAACATGACGGGAAAATATTTTTATTCAACAAAAATAGAAGCAGTGGTTAGTTTGGAAAACTAACTTTTTTCTTTCTCTGGTCTATATGTGACTTAAAAAACAAGTGTGTCCACAGATGCACACTTTGTATGTGTGCACACCTTGTGCACACAAACTTGCCATTCCCGAAGAACTTAGGAGTGTAAACACGGCTCCGTCTCAGTTTGTTTACATTAGTAGTTTGTTTTAGTAAAGTTAGCCATGATCCATTTATGTCTGCGTCTCCTCAGGTCAGAGAGTTTATGGTCTCACAGCCTCTATGTATTGTTCCATAGATTGATTGTTGAAGTATTTTTTTCTTTGCCCAGTCATTACATGATCTTAAGAAAATCATGTGTCTGTGTTTCACCTCTTTTGCACAAAGTCTTTGAATAACTGCTGCATTGTTCAGATCATTCATAGAGTAGAAATATTAATCAGGGCCTGAAGAAAATGAAATATTTCCTTGGTGTCATTTTCAGAGTTACCTGGGAAATTTGTATGTTCTGAGGCTGTTTTTGTGGGTGAGTCTTGATCTGCGTCCACATTTTTACAGTTAATCTCTTCTGTTTCATTGGGGTTTCTTGGTATTTGATGCTAACAAGGTTCAAAAGTTGGCGTGAAATTGGTAGAAACAAGGAAATGGTGTGTGAACTTTAGCACGTTTCAACCAAGGAATGTTTTACTTTGTAACGTGTTGCCCATTGTGAAGTTTGGTTTCCCCACCATAGTGATAACAGTCCGTGTTGATCTGTTTGCATTGTCACTACATATCACAGATGCCTGACTGCTTATATGACATTTCAGAAGCATTTCCGCGGTCTGTTCCCTCATAGCCATTCCCTCCTGTCTGTCGCAGACTTGGAATTCTGGAATGTTGTGTATTTTCTATAGACTGTTTTACTGCAACCTTAAATTCACCCCTTTGTTGTCTGTTTCAGTTAATACACAATGTGTTTCTGCATGGGGTAACATATCACAGAGCATTTCAGAGAGCTTGTATTCTTGGGGCCTCTTTTAACTGTGAACATAGTGTAAATATTCATTTGTTTAATTTTTTTCAGAGGGTATGGATGATCAAGTAATGATTAACTAAATTTTGTGGTGACTAATTTACTATTAAGCAAATGTCTCCTTTTAGGTTTATCATCAGCTCATATTTGCCCCACAAAAATCCATAATCCATTACACAGCCTTTAAGAATGTCAAGATAGCTCATAGAACGTTTTGGAGTGAAGCCCGATCACTTTTAATTAAGACCATCTGCTGGTACATCCAACTTACTTTGGTGTCCCTCGTTGACCCCAGGCTCAAACACAGGACCTGTTTTCCTCATTCTGCTCCTTGCAGCGTTTCTGTGTGCTGGCTTTCGTTCCAGCTGAGCTCTCTTGATTGAGCTATCAGTCAGAGAAACCACTGAAATCAAGTCATATTCATTTAGAGGTGTGTTTCCTGGGGAATCTTCAGTTTAGAAATAGTTTTAAGGACAAAAAGGTATTTATTTAAAAATCTTTAATATTTTGTGTTCTTTACTTCAGAAAACACTTTATTACTGGGGCATATTTGTATTAATAAAAGAAGCAGCTTTTGTTCTTTTAATTTGATTATTTCTGGGGAAAAAGGGACGGTTAATATGAATGAAGTTGATTCCTTTCTCCATGTATCTGTTCCAGTTAGTATTCTGGTTATTCCATATCATGTCAAATCTAATCTAAGTTTATTGAATGTGCAACAGTAAATAAACGGTGGTAGGTGCAGGCAATGAAGTGAGTTTCCTTGAAAGCTCCATTTATTAATTATGGTTGCAAAATTCTGGGAATTTTCCCATTAATTCCCATATATTTCTGTTAATTACCATGGAAAGTTTCAAACTTGGAATATTCCCAAAATTCCCCATCTTAACTTCCCATGAATTGGGAATTCTCTGGAAAGTTTCTGCACATTTTCCACCCCTTTACAACCCAGTCACGTAAAAAAAAAAGGAAGTAAATAATGCATATATTTAAAAATGTCCATGTTATAGTTAGGATCTATTACGGAGCATGTTTATTTGTGTCTCGATGCTCTGATAATGTTTCCCCGCAAACAGTGTGTGGCTGAGATGGCTGGGTTCCCGGAGGATGATCAGTCTTGGGAAGTATGGTCTGGATGATGTTGCCATGGCAATGGTCACACAATATCCACCTTCTCGTTCCAGGATGGCCGAGCCTCGGTTTAACAACCCATATTTCTGGCCTCCACCACCTGCCATGCCTGGACAGGTAAGATATCCCATGTTAACCACCCCCCACCCCTTCGCCAAAAAAAAAAACATAAAGTCACAGAACCTTCTGTATCTGATCACAGTGTTGCGATCCGGTTAGAGCAGAATAGGACAAACTATGGCCCACAGGTTGCGTCCGCACTGCCAGCAACTTTAATCAGCCCTTTAAACCAACGATTAATCAAACAACATTTGTTAATTGTTTCAGTTTATGGTGATCTTGTGCAAACTGTGTACATAGTCATCCAGGGCACTCGATGGCACTAGATCAGCCACACTGCTCTCGTTGAAGAGAAATCCCGTTTTAGGTTTTCTTTTAAGTTTTTCCTCATTAACTCTTGTGAGATTTTGGAATACTTCTGCATTATCTTGCAATACATGTTTATTAATGATTCTGCTGAGGATGTTCAAAATACAAAGTGTAGTATAAACAGACTAATAACAAAAACGAAATGACACAGACATGTCCTGTACATTGTGCTTTAAGCGGTAGACTATGGGGGACAATGCACACAATTTAATTTTCAGATTATGTATTTTTATATGTATTCATAATTGCATGGTGTCCATTCCTTATCATATTAGTTATATTATAAGTGCACATATGATTAAATTTATGTTAGGCCATCTATAACGGAAGTGACCTGCCTTACAATTAAAAGATTTAATGTGGTCTTTGGGCCATAAAGTTTGCCTACCCCTGGTTTACAGGATGTGGACATTCTCAAAAAGATTCTCAAAAAGTGTTTTTTCTGTCCCCTGGTGGAGAGTGGGGTGAATTACAGTAGTCAGTCACCATACACTTTTAGACATCAAATGGGATGGAGCTCAAAGGGACCAGTTTCATAAAATCAGTTTTGTGTTCTTACCTCCAAGTTAAAAATAATTTTAAAAGTAATTCAACAAACAACCTGTAAAATTAGCCAGGCAAAGGTTTCATTGTTTCTGTTTAGCTTATGTGAGAAAAGTTATCTCAAAAGGGATCTGTTTCAGTTCACATTTAACTAGACATGATTGTGATTTCCGGTTGCTTTTTCGATCAAAGAAACCACATTTGCAAATCAAAAAAAATAATAATTGCTCATCGGAAGATGTCACACTGCTGTCACACTGCTTTGCGACTGGTAGTTTTGCTTAAGAGTTGTCCAGTGACTCAAAAAGCAGTTTGCATCATACGGCCATCAGGGGGTGCTAAACAGGTCCTTAGGAATATGCCTTACAAATAAAAGTAAGTTTTAAAGGCATTAGTACCTGTTTTGGAGGAAATATGTTTTTCCAAAGCCAAGCCTTCACTAAGTCAGATGGTTTATTAATGTATTTGCCTCACTTCTGTGATGCTTTAGATAAAGTGCTTGCTATATAAATAAATATAAAAAGTTCTACTCGTGTATTATGTTACTTATGCACTGCTTATTGTTAGGGACAGTTTTGTAAGGGCAGGTTTTTATACTGATGAAGAAATATGATCCGTTTCTGGAAGTTCATTGACCTCAGTGCTTATAAGGAGGTGATTAAGATACTGATCTGTGAGTGTTTCCCCTCACTTCTGAAAATGGGGATAAGTGCACTTATTGCTGGCTAATATGAGAAAATATGACAAATATGACCAAATATTTTATCATGATTCATTTACTCGTAAGTCTATCAGTCTATCACAATAAATCTTTTTTTTTAATTATTATTTTTAACTTAAGTGCTCCAATTTTGCCTAAAATTCCCTTAGGATTCCTCTTAAACATGAAAGAGACAACAAATTGAATGGACTGCAAACTGAAATAAAATTTTTATAGATAAATCATATATAAATTCTTTTTATGAGAAATTTTGTCAGTTGGCCGATAAAGATAAAATCAGTTCAGCTAAATAGGCCCCGTGTCTCCACAGACCTGTCTCTCCTGTTTCGTCGTCATACTCATATAGGACACAGAACTGCAGGCAGTCTGTCCTTTGGTCTGCAGCACGCAGGAACCCTACAAGCCCACCTGGTGTCACTCAGCTTCCATAGCTCTGAGGGATGGAACACCTCTGGCTGCATCTCCTGCATTCTTTGTTGGACATAAGCGCCTGACAAGATGTACTTTTTGTTTTGACCATATTTACTTTAGCAGATGACTCATCATCACCTGTCTTCTTACCTATAGTCATTCCCCTGACGATTACTGTGTATTTATAAATGCATCTCTGATGCTCGTCTGAGTCACACATTCAAATAAGCAGTAGTATCGTCTGCCAAGATCAATGTCATGATATAACATAGTACAGAATGTTCTGGTAACAATAATCTCTGATGCAAATCACTGAGGACGGCAGGAATGAATACATTAAGCCGGCAATTTCAGCTGTTTTATAAATTTTACAGTCTTACAGTTTTAAGTTTATACACGTATATGAATATAATATTCTGTGCTTTTGGTATATTGGTCAAGAAAATTAAAGGTTAAACTGCTTAAGTATAACTTTAGCTGAATTGATTTTTTGATATATGGTAACTAATTTAACAATCACAAAAACCCATTTGACAAAATATGTAATCTGGGTCTGTGGAATGCCAATCATATTTCATATTCCTTATTGCTTTGCAGTCTTTAACAGAGAACCTGTCTTATCAAGCTCCCTCATCCACTTGTTCCTTCAGTCAAATGAGCTCTAATTAGTAATTAACAGAGTTTGGGGAAACATTGGTTGGTTGATAGATGTTCTCTATGGTAATGAATTTAAACTGACAGAGCAAGACCATGAATGATTTCTCAAAGCTTGTTCTTTACTTTGGAGAGGTTCTCAGAAAGATTACTCGTAACTTTGTGATAAGGCAACCACAGAAATTCTGTTAGAATTTACAGAATATTCTTTGTCATACTGCTGTTTAACCAACTCCAGGCTTATAAATGTTATAGGTGTTTAATAACTCAAAAAATAAAATCAATATGAGACAAAGCAATATGGAAATGCAAAATATATATATATATATTTAATTTTTATTTAATATTTAAATACCTTGACCATTACAGTCTCTCTAGTAGGTTTGGGTGGTATCTAATTTTTCATACAGTTATACCATATGGAATTTTAACAGTATTTTCCAAAAGCAACACTGCTTCATTATTCTTGGCAATAAAATTCTCTGAGTGGGGGGCTTGGAGTGGGGGGGGGGGACGGGACATAGCCAAACATACCACGGTACCTCCCAAGCTTGCACTGAGGCAAAGAAAGGAAGTGTGACACCTCTGACATCCGTGATTAACTTTAGGGAATGTGCACGGCGGGGGCAGAATGTGCACAGCACGAGGGGGCGTGCTTCTCCACACACTGAGTCTGTGCGGAAACGCACGACTGCCTCTCGTTCATCATGGAGGCAATACCACAAGATTGTTGTGATTTAACTGCCTGTGGAATACCAGTAGTATTATACCACAGACAGGATGAAGAGTAAGGAATTAATGCTGCCATTGTTTCAGGTCACAGAGCAATAGCATCATGAATACCATGTATTAATAATAATAATAATAATAATAAATAATTAATAATAATAAATAATTAATAATAATAATAAATAATTAATAATAATAATAAATAATTAATAATAATAATAAATAAATAATAATAAAGTTCTCAAAGCTTGTTCTTTACTCTGGAGAGGTTCTCAGAAAGATTACTTATACCTGTTGCTGACGGATGTGTATGATCAGCACGCAGCCATGCGATCTCCAGCATCAAGGATTTTATTACAATGTCCATGTTAAGTCATATCAATGTACTATTTGCCTTACTTCAGTGTTGCTTTAAATAAGAGTCTGCTAACAGAAATGAATGACCTAACAGTGCTATGCGTGTGTGTTCCATATGGACTGCTTATTGTTAATGTCAGTTTTGTACGGGAACGTTTATATACTAATACTGTTTTAAATATGATCCATTTTTGGAAGTCCATTTACCTCGGTGCTTTTAAGGAGATAATTAAGACTATTGATCGGTGGGCATTTTTCCTGACTACCCCGACAGGGAATAAATGCACTTAAAAATGCCAGGATTTAACCAACCAGCCGGCTAACTGTTAGTCTACTAGCATAATGTTATCTACCCATATTCACAGCCAGTCCCCAAGCCCACACAGGAAAACACTGTAACTGTGAGCACGGGCATTGCTAAAGATTTTGGGTCCCATGAAAGCATATCATACTGGGCCCCCCAGTCCAGACCAATCCAGTTATTTTCCAAATTTTTTAGGACCCCTGTCACTTAGGGGCCCTTGGAATCGTCCTAACTTTCCCTGCCCTTACGGCGCCCCTGACTCTGATTATTATTTTAGGTTTTTTTCTTGCCATGCAACTAGAATCTCAGTTGTAACAGGGTCTTCTTAAATGTAATTAGGGTTTGTGTATATGCATGTGATTCTGGGAACTATTAAAATTATACTCACACACTGTGACCTCTTCGACTACATTTGTGTAAATGTTCCACATTCTATGATCAACGTCGCTGAGAGCCAATGAAAATGGTGGGGAGGGGGGACACCTACTGAGGCAGCCAGGCTTCAGGGGGCTCTTCCTCTGTGGTTCAATTCCAAAAAGAAAAGAAAAACAGACTAGCTCAAAACACAGCAAGACCACCAGAACTGGGTCTTAGTTATTACAGGGTCACTCCACCCTTCCAGCTTGTGCTCGAGACTTTGATTGCTGCTCTTGATTCATAACGGAATTTGCGATGACGTTTCCCTACCATGTGTCTCCTTTGCCAGCTAGACAATTTGGTGCTGATTAACAAAATCAAGGAGCAGCTGATGGCCGAGAAGATCCGGCCTCCGCACCTGCCCCCCACCACACTCCCTTCCCAGCAGCCTCTGCTGGTGCCTCCATCGTCCTTGGATGGTGGACAGCATGCGATTCCGGTCCCAAAATTCCAGCAGGTGCCTGCTCTTCACTCCCACAGCCCATCCCAGCCTGATCTCGCTCTGCACACCCGCCCTACCTCCAGCACTCTGTCAGGTACCGGGGTGGGGGGGTGGCATTATCAGTGGGAATCCTGGGGCATTTTCCCACATCATATTAGGATATTATGATGCTGTGTCTCTTGATTGACTAAAAAACTCAATAGAGATTCCAGCTGTAGGCATCTGCGTTGTTCATGATGTGGAACGTAGGTGTCTCTTGGTACAGCTGCTTGGATGAACTGTTCAGTCAGACCTGCCAGTCTTGTTTGTGTGTCCTGGGATTCAGGACACACAATAGAGATAGGGATAGAGTTAAAGTGAAATAATAATAATAACAAACTTTACTGTTGCCTAGTGTTTAATCTGTGAAATATCACTCACTACCGATGGCGAAAACTATGAAATCTGAATGTGTATGACATGCCCTCCTACTATGACTCCCACATCAGGTCTGTCACTAGCCTCTCGAACCTCAGAGGCCACAACCCCAACCACGCCCATCTGCAGCAGCCAGAGCCGAATGGGCGGAGCTGCGTCTCCCAACATCATCTCAGGACTGGCCAGCCACCCTGGCGTGGAATCCTTTAAGAACTGTGCGGGCCTGGCAGGCCTGTTGGGCCCACCCCCAAAGATGGAACGCGGACGCAAGAAGATCAAGGCAGAGAACCCCTCTGGCCCCCTGTTTGTGGTGCCCTACCCCATTCTTGCCTCAGGCACCGAAGGAACTATCCCCATGAAAGAGGGGAAGACCTACAGGTTAGGAAATTGGTGCGAGAGAAACGCTCACACAATACTCAGCATCAGCGTTATCTTTCCAGGCCTCACACAAATCGCTTTTAAAATGCTTCTTGCAATTAACACTCCATCAAGGGGAAAGTAGTGAATGTTTGCCAGCCATTTTCACGTGTCAGTGCTTTTCATTGTAGCTCGACACTGACAGCGGTGACGTGTCTCTGTAGTTCATGTGCAGTCATTCGGCAGATGCCTTTAGGTATGATTATCTCTGTGTCCGGTCACGTTCATGCTCCAGAGTGGCTCGTTTTCAGTTACGCCAACCGACGGGCTTGCCTTTGACGACACTGCTGACTCATTTCAGTTGCAATAGCGTGAAGCTTTGAAAGAGACCCAGCCCAGTAAAACCTGTGTGCCAGTGACAAAGGGAGCAGGATGGAAGGCAGAGTGAATTGTGTGAATGTGGCATAAAGACTCTGTGGCTTCTGTAGGCAGGGAATATTACCCAAATTCTTGCGTTTCAGTACCTAATTTCTGACGAACTGACTAAAGGGCAGCGTGTGGCTCTGTAGGCTAAGCCTGTGTACCTATAATCACAAGGTCGCCGGTTCAAACCCAGCCTCAGCACGTCTGCGGGTCCTTGAGCAAGACCTTAACCCCCAGCTCCCTGGGCGCCGCTACGGGTGGCTGCCCTTCGCGGACAGCTTGCTCTACAAAGAGCAAGGTGAGGGAGGTGTAAAAAAACAATTTCCCCACGGGGATCAATAAAGTATCAATTATTAAACAGGCATTTTATTTTCACTGGCAGACTGCTTTGCTCTTTGGACTAGTGATGGGCAAAATGATACTTATGAACCATTTGATGTATTTTTTGACTCCACTGGTGCTGCCTGTTCAAAAAAGGGCTCAAAGCATGCCCCAAAGCAAGCCAAGAGCGCCATCTAGTGAGGTCAAAAAATACAGCAAACGGTTCATGAAGGTTCATTTGCCCATCACTACTTTGGACCATATGAACGTTACAAATGAGAAAACAGGCCGCTGTCATGTTAAGAGGGGGTCGTTGTAGAGTTTGATGCCTGCTGTATATGGGACATCATAAAGTTATTGTATGACTTGTGAAATGGCCATTTTGTTCATTTCCATTAGTGCTTCATGTGCAGAGCTAAATCCTTAGCCTTTCTGCAGTGAGACACTCAAGCATGCAGTGGGATTCTGACTCACCGAAGCCGGGTCTCTCTGCAGAAAACCACATACAGTGGTGCTTGCGGTTCATGAACACAATCCATTCCAGGAAGGTGGTCACAAACCAATTTGTACGTGAACCAAGGCAATTTTTCCCATAAGAAAGCATTGAAATTCGATTAATTAGTTCACAAGCCTACCAAATAATTTTTGTAATTAATTTCTTGGTTTTTATAGTAAAAACACAATATAGTGTGGCCACGGACGGACGGAGACATCGCGAAAGCAGAGAGACATGGAGACTTGCTTTCTGGAGAAATCATGCTCTTTATTAACAGTCCTTAAAAGGGCCACAACAGGAACCCAACGAGCACTGAACTGAAATACACAGACACAAGGCTGTCAGACGCCGAAATGCAAGATGCACACATGGTGGAAGATTTACACACGGCGGAAGATTTACACACGGCGGAAGATTTACACACGGTGGAAGATTTACACACGCCAAATACTTGCGAGGATCGGACCCGGTACACACAAGACACGGGCAAACACACGCTCGACAATAGGGAAATGTAACCATTAACATTAACAACAACACAATACAAGGGCTATTTACAACTGCATGCGGGGCATGCTGGGACATGCGGGGACATGCGGGGACATGCGTCCTGCCGGTGCTTCATTAGCAAAAAAAAAAAGGTTGAGGAATCTGTTCGTCGACTATATTTTGTACGCGAACCAAATTGTTCGTAGGCCGATGTGTTCGTGAACCACAGGCACTACTGTAGTTGATAGAGTGACACAGCCAGAGTCACATACGGAGGACGGAGGACAGACTTGCATGATAAAGATTTTACGGTGTGCTGATAGTAGGGAGTAAACAGGGTTGGTGTGATATGTGTAAAAGGTCCCTGACTTCTTTCCCTACAGGTGCAAGATGTGTCCCCTGACCTTCTTCTCCAAGTCTGACATGCAGATCCACTCAAAATCCCACACAGAAGCCAAGGCACACAAGTGTCCGCACTGTTCCAAGTCCTTCGCCAACGCGTCCTACCTGGCCCAGCACCTGCGCATACACTTGGGTGTCAAGCCCTACCACTGTTCCTACTGTGAGAAGTCCTTCCGGCAGCTCTCACACCTGCAGCAGCACACCAGGTAGCCAGCAGGGGGTGCTGTGCCCCTCCTCATACTTGGGGTCTCATTTATCAACACTGTGAACCGTGCTTATGCACATTTTTATGCATAGGTTGCTATCAATTTATTTATTACGAATATTTCCAACCATGCATACACACAAAACCCAGAGAAGCACATAGGATACTCCCACTTATTTTTCAGCCTTGATAAGCAAATAGAATGATCTATTTAAGTCCACATAAAAATACATGCAGGCAGGTCATGCTAATTGCCATAATGAATTATTCTGATATCTTATAACAGGGATTGGCAATCTTATCCGCAAAGGGCTGGTGTGTTTGCAGCTTTTTGAGATAACATTTAGGTCAGCTATTCAAACCCAGGTGTGAGGACTCTTCAGCCAATCAGTCCTCTTATTAGTAATTTAATTAGGGAGTTGTAGCGAAAACCCGCACACACACCGGCCCTTTCTGGATAAGATTATCCACCCTGTCTTATAAGGTCCATGCCCAAAGAAACAATATATCACTGTCACTAAATGTGTGCTTTACAAGGCAACTGACGTGTAGCTCAATTCATTTTCAGGCATCATTCACTTGTTAGTTTACTGCGGCATATGACACACATTTTTTTTCTGCAGACAGTTAATCACAACCAGAAAACTCTCTTACCTGTTTCTGAAATCCTGGCCTCATCCATCCGTTCTCATCTCAGGTGACACAGCAGTAACTGCATATGTCACCCATTCCCATGCTGGGTGCATCTCTTTCTTTGACAGTCCACTGGTAAAGTCTCCAAACAATGCCTGTTTTTTTTTGTTTTTTTTTTAGAATTAGGTGATCAGTAATCCTTGTTGACACATCACAGCCCACAGTGAACAACAACGAAATGTGTCCTCTGCATTTAACCCATATGTGACATCGTGACATAGCAGGGGGCAGCTAATTCAGCACCCAAGGAGCAGTGCTTGGGGGCGGTACCTTGCTCAGGGTACCTCAGTGCTGCCTTGCTGGTCTGGGATTCGAACCAGCAATCTTTCAATTACAAGTGCACTTCCCAAACCGTTAGGCCTGATATTCTAGTACGTCCAGCAAAAATTACACCTCATTCTCAGTAAAGTTCCATTTTCCCCCCTTTATGGTATATTTTGTTTTTAACTTTATTTCTTAATAGCAAAATACAGTTGCAAGATGACAATTAAAGTGTATAGTGCATAATATATTACAAAGGGGAATAAGGATATAGGGGTATATGTCTCTTTATGGTTTCCATTTCTGCAACACGTTCTCCTGTCGTGCAGATCGACGTGTTATGCGGTGGTTATTTCCATATATGACTCATTGAGGGTATTTCTGTGCACACACAGTCATACTTGGAATGTGTGAGATTTACCAGCATTCACTTTGTACGGCTGTTTGTATGCATGCGTGATATACTGTATACCAGTTTACCTGTACGTACAGGCGATTCATATGCACACAACTAGGAATTGTTCTGTGCAAACTTTGAGAAATGAGATAAATGAGACCCCTGCAAACTTTGATAAATTCCACGATTTTGTTGTCACTTAACCGGTTCAGTGCTGGCTGGTTAAGCTAATGGATGCTTGTTCCCCCTGCAGAATTCACACCGGGGACCGGCCCTACAAGTGTGCTCACCCAGGCTGTGAAAAGGCTTTTACCCAGCTCTCCAACCTCCAGGTAGACCCAAAGCCTCACCCTCAACCGCATTCTCGCTGCAAAACACAAAAAAAAAAACTTTGCAGTGCTGTGCAAAAACAAGCAAGGACAATCAAGGAAATCAATTAAGGAATCAATCAAGGAATCAATAAATTATGTACATAGATAAGATACCGGGCAGATAAGGTGCCTAGTGCAATGCAGTTTTGCAGCAGGTTCTGTAGATGGGCTGGAGGGGCATATTATATTTAGTGTAATGTAGCAGCAGGTGGTTAGATGACCAGGACAAAGTCAATGGCTGTTGCTGTGGCCTACGGCTGTAGGGAAAAAGCTGTTCTGTAGGTGAATGGCTTTGCTTTTAGTAGATGTGGACGAGGCTGGTTTTATGAGTTGCCTAACCTCATCTTTACTTAGGGGTTAAACAACTGGTTACCCAAACAATTCAGGTGGCAATGCTATGACCCAGTTCTCATCCCCTCCATACAATGACACGTGACACCCAGGTTCTGATGGACCACGGTTTCTCTCCCCCACCTCCCAGTCCCACCAGAGGCAGCACAACAAAGACAAACCGTACAAGTGTCCGAACTGCTACCGGGCTTACTCAGACTCGGCGTCCCTGCAGCGCCACCTGTCGGCCCATGCCATCAAGAACGCCAAGGCGTACTGCTGCAGCATGTGCGGACGGGCATACACGTCGGTGAGCATGCGCACCCGGGCCGGCTTCGCCGCCACCGCCGTCCCACACCAAAAACAAAACAACAGTTGGCACAAGCATGTAAGTTGCCCAAATATCCGTGATGAAGAATCCCAGTACTCTGGATAACAGTGCGCTGCCAACACTGCAACCCGAGAAATCTAGCCTGTAATGCAGAGTCGTGCTGTCCGGTCCTTCTCTGCAATGCAGTGCTTCTCTGTGGCCTCTATGACATTTCACTTAGGAAAGATTTAAATGGGTTTTCTTTTGTTCATCAACATCTAATGGTAAGAACTTTCATAAACTTCTCATAACTGATTGTTCCTTCTTCCTCCCCAGGAGACCTACCTGATGAAGCACATGTCTAAACACACGGTGGTGGAGCATCTGGTCACCCACCACTCCCCTCAGAGGACCGAGTCTCCCAGTATCCCTATCCGTATTTCCCTAATCTGATTGGACCATGCCGTGCCATGCCCCCCTCTCACCACGCCCCCAGCCACTCTGATTGGACCATGCCCCCCTCTCACCACGCCCCCAGCCACTCTGATTGGACCATTCCCCCCTCTCACCACGCCCCCAGCCACTCTGATTGGACCATTCCCCCCTCTCACCACGCCCCCAGCCACTTTCACCCTTAGTGAAGCAGCCCCAATCCCAGCACAATTCAGGCCCACATCCACATTCTCACCCTCCTCATTAGGTTTTGAGGGCAACCCTTACAGGTTTGTCCTAAGATGTTCCTTGATCCCAGTGGTGTCACCCCCCAATGTGAGGCCTTCAAACATGTTCTAGACAGTATTTTTACTTCATAATTATGGAAAAAATAAGCTATTGAAAAGTATTTTCTTTAACCCCTTTTCCCCTCAAGGTTTGTATCCAAGGGGAAGAGTTGGCACCTCCAAAGATTATTTTACAGCACTTTCAGGCCAAGTGTGAAAGAAACCGGCCAAAAAAAAAAAGAGTTAAATAAATAAAACATTCTTTGGGCAGCTAAATTCTAAGCATGGGAATTATGAAAGAAACAGAGGCTCTACCCTGTACACTTTCTGCTTTGTTTACATGTTGCATAAGGACAATTCTGCTAAGACGACACTCGTTCCCTGGCTTCCGAACAGCCAAACTTTACATCTTGTTCCACTCCAAAGAGTCCTTGCTTCTCTCACACCATTTCACTCCTGTGGATTCTCTGTCACTGTGTACAGATCATTACTGTTGTGTAACAGATCTAGAATATGCAGTTAAAATGGAAAAAAAAAACTTTTTTAACTTAAAAATGTATCTCTTTTTAAAATACATCTATTGACTTTTCTTCTCAAAACATTTTGACCTTCCAGTGTCGAAGCAGACTGTTCCTTATGTACTGGGATGTGTCGTCGTCCATAACTGGTCACAGTTCTCATATAGCCAGCAGAACCTCAGCCGAAGAACCATTCCCCCCCCCCCCAGCACCCCCAGTAGGATGCTCTCAATCCAACCACAGCCTGGATGCAACCCACTGACTGACCCAGGTACCTGAAAGCAGGACTCCAACCTGGAGCAGCCGTAGGTGCCGTCAGAGTGCAGCTTTCTGGTACTTCCCTGCTTTCCTGCTTTGCCTGGTTACACTGTGCAGGTTGTGGCGCCAGAAGATAGCAGTTAAAAACTGGTTGGTTTGGGGGGGAAAAAAGAATCAGCGTGTTATTGGGCCAAACACACGCAAAATACAGCGACGGGCCTGCAGTGTCCCGGCCCTGATGTTTAAACCTCAGAGCTCTCTATGCCAAGAATTACAGACCGTGTCTCCTAACTCTGCCTTTGTTTTCATGAATTAAATGGGAACATGTGTGTTTGTTACCGAGGTAACTTGCACCCATTTTTTTTATTTAAAAATTAGTGTGTTTCTGCTTTGGGGTGTCCTGTTAAGTTTGTATAGATATGTTTGTGTAGAAACAGACGACCATATCTTATTACCCATTTATTCATGTCCAAATAATAACAATTCACCTTTATTTTATACATGTGTAAGCCTTAATTGTATTACCATTGTATATTTTTTCCAGGTTTTGTTTGTACTGTATGTATTTTTATTCCTTAGCATGAATACATTGTAAAATACATAACTGTTATTATCCATTTTCTATATGAAATTGATTATATATGTCTAGTTATTAAAAATGCATTTTCCTTTGTCCTGCATTGTGGTACTATATACATTTTGCAGTGTCTGATACCAAAAGCCACGACTTTTCAAAAGAATATTTATGGTAATCAGAAAATTTACTTGAAATTCAACATGATTTATATATATATATACAGTATAGTGTGTGTGTGTGTATATGTATGTATACAGACACAAAAGTTTCAGGTCACTTAGAAATTTCCTTGCTTTTGAAAAATAGCTTTTGTCATTAAGATAACATCAGATTCAACAGAAGTATTATGCAGACATTGTTAATGTTGCAAATGACTATCATAGCTGGAAATGGCTGTTTTTTTTTTTTTTAAAGAATATCTACAAAGCCCATTATCAGCAACAATTAGTCCTGTGGGAAGAATCAATAAAACTGGCCGCCTTTGGACTATCTACAGCATCAGCAATTGTGGGTTCGGTTACAAGTTCAAAATGGTCAGAAACAAAGAACTTTCTTTTGAAACTCGTCAGTCTATTCTTGTTCTGAGAAATGAAAGCTATCCCATGTGAGAATTTTTCAGGAAACTGAAGATCTCGTACGATGCTGTGTACTCCTGCCTTCACAGAGCAGAGCAGACTGGCTCTAACTACAACAGGAGGAGGGGAGGGGGGGCCAGTGCACAACTGAGCCAGAGGATAAATTTATTTTAGAGACTGAACAGAGGAAGGTTGGGGAAAAAAGTGCTATGGATGGAGAAATCTAAGTTTGAGGTGTTCAGATCACAAAGAAGAATGTTTGTGAGATTCAGATCAAAAGAAAAGACGCCGTCAGGCACTTCCTCAAACATCTGCCAAACATGGTGGAGGGAATGTGATGGTCTGAGGCTGCTTAGGTGATGATGAAGTGGGAGATTTGTACAGGGTAAAGGGATCTTGAAGATGATTTTGCAATGCCATGTCCTGTGGACAGAGCATGATTAATTAATGATGACTTAACATAAGATCAGAATGTAACTAAGACTTAGCTTGTGGGTAATTAATACATAAGTAAGAGCATAATACTATACTGTTTGTGCCCCGGCAAGTAAAGTGATATTGAGGAAACAAGCACATTTGGAAGTTTGAGAACATCTCAAACTAACATCAACAAGAAAGGTGAAAATCTATGAGAAAATAAATATAGTTGTTACATATGTCATTAGAAATACCTTTATTCTACTTTTAAAAAAAATCATGTACATGCAACAATACATTGTGCACAGGTCAGATGTTTGGTCTGTTTTCAGAAACTAGAATGAAATATCATCATTCTGAATTTCTCATAAATCTACAGCTTATTTTTTTGTCTACAATTACCCGAATGCGCCATCGTAGACTTTTGCGCGAGAGTGAAAAAATAGAAAAATATGCATACATTATTATAATAGCCTCATTACTAATTATTAATATATAATTCATAAGACAAGTGATTTCACAGCTAAAGCTATCCGACTGATTCGATGCAGTGAAATGCAGCGTCTGCAAAGTTAATAGCTGCTTCCCTTTGACCACCAGGTGCCGCCATCGTGCGGCGAAGCTTCGACTAATGATCCTTTTTCCGGTGTTCTGAAATTTTTTCCTACCTAAAATACAGTAGGACATTATTATAGATGCAAACACTTCATAAATATCTGCTCCCCTCTTTCTTAAGGGTGGTAGGACATTATTATAGATGTAAACACTCCATAAATATCTGCTCCCCTCTCTTAAGGGTGGTAGGACATTATTATAGATGTAAACACTTCATAAATATCTGCTCCCCTCTCTGTTATGGGTGGTAGGACATTATTATAGACGTAAACACTTCATAAATATCTGCTCCCCTCTCTGTTATGGGTGGTAGGACATT